TGTATCTTTTTCTCATTAACAGGTTGGAAGCGTAAAATAACGAAACGTTCTTTTGTATTTATGCAGGTACAAACGCTTTTGCATATGTCTGCTTATATACATACAAACAAATATACATATATATGGAAATAATAATAATAATAATAACAACAACAACACAATAGTATTATTAATGATAACAAATTTGCTATCACACAGCGTGTGCTCAATGTCAAGCAGTGTTAGTATCATGGTAAAACCAAATAACGAAATATATTCGCGACAGCAAATTTCACGCCTCAGCGTGAAATTGTCAGTTGCGCTTGCATTTATTTCTTCTTAATTCGTATATATATATATATATATATATATATATATATATATATATATATATATATATATATATATATATATGTATATATATATGTGTGTCTGTGTGTAAATATTAGTTTTTGAGTGTTTCATCGAATTATTTCTGTATTTTTGCCATCTTTACTCAAAGTCATGATTATTGAACAATATTAAAAGAAAAATTGTAATGACTATGATCGCTAATGAGAAGTAGGTTTATTATAGCATTCAAAATAATTTAATTCATGAGATTTTGTCACTGAGAATCTTAAGAGAAGTAATTTGCTAAATATTTAAAAACTATCAAGAAAGCTTGTTACTAATGTTTGCATCCATTTTCAATTTAGCTTTTCGTTAATATACATAATCGAATAATTTCAAACATTCTTGCATTGTCGGTTGAGAGTTTATTGAAAGAGCTAAACTGAATTAAAGTTGGTTTTGAGTTTAACAATAAAAGTAAACTTTGAAACCAAGCTTGGACCAATATTTGAGTCTATTAAGTTCGATGTGAAATAAGAAATTTATGTTACTGTTAACAGAAATTTTTAGAACAGAAATGAAAACTGGTAATTCATATTAACTCTAACTTAAACGCGTCGATTTGACACAAAAATAAGAAAACTAAAACCTAACGAAACCAAATGCATAAAAATAAAATAAAATAAAAGGTTTATTTTCGGATAGAAATTAAAAAGTTTCTAGTTTACAATAATGACTGTTTACGAAAATTAAAACGTAAAATGCCTTTTAGCGGATTATTTCTTTACTTATTGTTTTCGTTTATCTAAAAGTTTTGTAATGTAAAAGAATTATAAGCTTTTTCATCAGAAGTAGTCAGTTTTTGAATTTTATTGTAAAATGAAATTATAAGGAGAGAGAAAGCTGAAAATAGGGAGAAAGAAAGAATGGGAAAAGAGCGAAGGAAAATTGAAAGGACAGGAAAAGAAAGAAGCAAAGTGAGAGATAAAGAAGTGAAAAAGGAAATAGGGATTGAGAAAAAAGAAAATAAGAAATGGAAAATAAGAATGGAAAATTGAGAGTTAAGGAAAGAGAAAGAAAATGAAAGAAGAAAAGGGAAAAAATTGAAAAGAAAGAGAAAGCAGGAAACAGAAAGAAAAAAGGAAAAAGAATGAGATTGAAAGAAAGAAAGAGAAAAGAGAGGAAGAGGTGAAACAGGAAAACAATAGACAAAAACAAACAAACTGAAATAATGTATATGCAAATGCAAACATTTTATACAAGTTCTCACGACTGTTGACCAGAAGATTAAATGGCAGTGTAAGAGTGTATGCGAAGGCATGTGTACATGCATTTAAAGATATTTAGGTATCCATGTGTGCGAGGGTGTGCGTTTATGTATTTAATGATATATAAATATGTATGTATGTGCGAGAGTGTGTGTGCATAAATTTATGGATATGTGTGTGTGTGCATGTGAGGGCATGTGGCCATGCATTTATATATGTAAAAACGGATTTATATATATATATATATATATATATATATATATATATATATATGTGTGTGTGTGTGTGTGCACGTATATGTGTGTGCGTGCGTGTGAGTGAGAGTGAGGATATGTGAAAATAAGAAAAATATAGCAGTAAATCAAGAGAAGGAAAGATTCCAACTCTTTCTACAGGATAATAGAGTAGCGAGCAAAAGAAATGAGCCACAGCTGAAAAAACTGTTTAATTTCTAATAGCTGCAAATGTTTGACCATTTAATTTCAAGAGTTGTATCTGTGGTTATTCAGAACATTGAGCGCAAGTTATCACATTCTTATTGGCACATTAAAAGGAGAGATAGAGATCTGAATGCACGGTGAAGCTGAAAATAGGGCACCAAATATTATGAGCTATTTGACTCTAAAAAACATCTTCACAGAGTATGATACTTATACAAATGTTACACGTTAAACGGATAATGCACAGATCATATAAACTTTGGAGTTTTCAACTTGACTTTTTGTGTAGTTGATTTAAATTTAATAATGTGAAGAGTAAGTTTGGAGAAGAGGATGAAAACCATCGAAATGTCATTAAAAATAAGTCATCGTGAAATCACTAAGAATCTTAGGTTATTGAGGTATGGTAGAATATTTCTGACGAAATAATTTTTAATTTATATTCCTACACCTCAGGTCGAATTTAGGTTGTAGTTCATTCCAATGGGAGTCATGTTACATGTTGATTATAACTTCTAATATCTGTAAATATATTCAATTTAATTCTATTCTTTATCTAGCAACTTATAGCTATTGCATACCTTATTTGTAGCATTCCCATATATTCAGATCTATAGACACCTTAGTACTATGACGATGTGAATGTCACAATTTGATACTATTTTTAAAATTATATTGTCGAACAGAGGTGTGTAAAAATTGATTCGTTTTTTGTCAGGTGGCTTTTACTCTTCACTGTAGAATGTATTAAATCATAATAAAGCCAAAATTGGTTAGAGAACGACATTATTTCCATGCATTTCGTATTTCCGGAAAATCGTTTCGATGCTTAGTTTAAGGAAAGAGACAAATGCATGAAGTATGCATAAACGGACTTCTGTTTCGTTTATATTACTTTAATTTTTATTCATTTATGATAAAGCAAGTTGTATTAAATTATTTATAGAAATTATTTCTCATTTACCTTTTGACAATACGTAATAATTTTGGGTATTACAAATTATTGCATTTAAAAAAATCATGAATTGAAATTTGAAAATTGTATATTAAAAGTGTAAAATTCGACACTATGAACATTCATGCAAAGATAATTCATGTTGGAATTTAATACATTTTTTATTAAATGTAAGATAAATTATTATCGTATAAGATGGATTTGTACGACTATTAAAAAGAAGCCCAGGTTTCTTTGATTTTTCTTAAAAATCGGACTAACTGAAAGTTATCTGTGTGAGTTAGCGTGCACATACTTATGCGTGTGTGTGTGATTATTCATTATTGTCATGCAGGTATGAACTCTCATGCGTGTGTATATTTACACAAATATATAAAATAAGACCAATTCCTATATATTCATTTCATACGAACATACACACACACACACACACACACACACACACACACACACACATATATATATGCATGCACAAGTGTTTATGGATATACATATATATGCATATGTGCATGCGTTTTTCAATGTAGCTATAGGAATCATTTTTATTATTTGTATATTCACATGTATATGCATATAGCATAAGTTCTATCTATCTATCTATCTATCTATCTATCTATCTAGCTAGCTAGCTAGCTAGCTAGCTGGCTAGCTATGTGTACGTGTGTGTGTACAGATATATTTTTTCATTACCATTGAATATATTCATATGGTAATCATAACAAAGTTTGTACGTTTTGGAGTGAGTATATACATCTTAATCTGAGAGTTGTATTCTTATCTACAGTATAGGGATGCATAAGTATCTGTGTGTCTATACATGGTATGTAAAATTAATTGATGCATGGGCTTAAGTAGATTTAAAGAAGTATTTCAGGTGTATGAAAATGGCTTGGGAAACTTTATGCACCGGAACGCGAAAGTGAAATGAGGAAAACAGTAAATGAATTATAAGAAGAAAATTAGGGAAAGAAGAAAAAGAATAGAAGAAAAGCTAGTTTAAAAAGCGGATTTAATTATCAAGAAACGGTGATGACAAATCACATCTTTGTTAAGATGAAACTGAAGAGCGATGTACCAACACAAACATAGATACCCACTCATATACAAACACGCATACACAAGGACACACGAACGAATACATAGTCATTCTTACAATGACTAAATCGTTGACATACAATATGCACTGAATCATCGTAGATGTAAAGAAGGAAAAGATATATCTGCGTGTATGTGTACATATATATATGTGCATATATTCTTCATATACATATAGAGGATATATGTATATATGTATGAGTATACAAATATGCATATATATGTAAGTTTAGTATGTGTAAAGTTGATCATTTCCATTGAAATAAAATTGAAATGCAGCCGAATGTGAGCGTAAAAGATGTTAAAATTGAAAAAAGAGAAATTGTGTGGAAGTAAATGGTAGATTTAGCAGAGGTAAATTAATACACGTTGATAACCGGAAAAAAGGCCGGTCGCTTTTTTAAAAACTTTTTCCAGTTAGATTGTAGGCAAAGTGAAAATTGGAAAAATATTAAATTGAATAAATCCCTTTTCTGTTCGAGCGTTCGCGCATGCGTGAGCGCAACTATGTGTTTGTGTATATGTATGAAGAAATATGTATGCATATTCGTGCGTATGTATATGTGTGTGTGTGTATGTTTGTTTCAATGTAAGTTAGTCGTTTGCTGAATGTATGCGTTAACTCTATTGATGCAATCGCTGACATATGTATTTGTATTTATTTGTAATTGTATTAATCGAGTGAATCCGGCAAAATATAGGTTTTCTGTCTCTTTGACTCTATTCACTTGTTTATTAGTATGCATTTGTATTTTAGTGTTTACACATAAGTGATGTTTTGCAGGTATTAGAATGTGTTTTGTTAACACATTATACACCGCTTAATCAACATCAATAGATATATTATTAATCTTAATGGACATATTACGATGGAATCTTTTATATATATATATATATATATATATATATATATATATATATATATATATGTCAAGAGATAGAGAGAGAATGAGAGAGAAACCAGATAGATGAGAGATAGATAGATCGATAGAGAGAGAGAGAGAGAGAGAGAGAGAGAGAGAGAGAGAGAGAGAGAGAGAGTTTAATCCATACCAGACTTTTTGTTTACTTAAATTATTTGCAATCCATTATTTCAAAATGCTGAGTTGCTTTGTATATGAGTAGGAATTACCAAATATGCAGAAGTACATATTAGATATTTACTATTGTAATTTACAGTTTGGGATTAAAATAATTTGACTCATCATACAAAAATGTAGGTAAAGGAATGACGTAACATATTTGCATGAGGTCATGTGATCATAATTGCCAGCGTATGGAATATTTTTAATATTTTAAAAATAGTTCAGGTTTATTTTAATTTATTTATTAATTTTATTTAAATATTTTTATCTTTTAAATATTCATTTAGACTGATGATTTTGTCCATAGTTTTCCTTTTTTATAATTTTTTGTTTATTATTTTACTAATATTTTTGTTTTTATGAATTAATATTTTCTTATTATGCCAGTTATTTCGAGAAACTGTTCGAAAAAAAAATTCACTTCTGAGATTTTCATGGCTTTTGAGTGTACATTTTTTGTGTTTGTTCCATTTTGTAATGATTGATTTCCTTTAGTGATGCATCTGTATTTATCAAGATGTGTTTTAATTTGTTGATGTTTTTTTTTGGTGTAGGAAAACAATGTGCAGCGTTTCTTGTGAATCATTTGAATTTATGGGCCACAAAAGTTTCCCATTTGTAAGATACGGAGAAAAAAAATCACGTTAAGCATTTTTTTCTTGTTTGGAAAGTTTTCGACAATTTGTGTTGGCAAAGAACAAATAACATGAATAAAGAGAAACAGGAATAACTCTGTTAATAACAGCTATAACAATGATAATCGTAAGAAAAAGGAATAATAATAATATTAATAATATTAATAATAATATAATTATTATTAGAGTAATTTTTCAGTTTTGTCTTTTTTAAAATTTAAATTTAAATTTTGAAATTTGAAAAGTTCGGCCAATCACTGCAGTGAATGTCATTGGGTAGAGTGAGCCAATCAGATGCCTTGATAAGTTTTGTCATAGAGATGAAAATAGAGCAACTGATTTCTTCTCTGACCTAATAAATAGCGTTCGCTCTGAGTAATCTCCCTTCTGAGTGGCAGTCCCATCGTAACTCTGCAGCCATGTTCGCACAAGGTGTCTTGCCAGGGACACGTGACTATCAAATATCACAGGCTGTAAAAAGTGAAGTGTTTTGTGGAATCTCACTTTGATGTCATCATCTTCACGAATTCTGTAAACAAATAATAAAATATTGTGAAATCTGTAAATTTTAGAAATTCAAATTAATCTGACATTAATAGATGAATACTGAATAGAAAAGCTGCCAGGAAAGACAATACAGGTATGATATACAAATGATTTTAACGTTATGTAATGGAAGAAGTGCAATTAGTTTTTAGAAGAATATTAGATGCCTATCATAGAACGATATTCGGAAAACTTGTATTGCAGTTCATTTCGTTAGAGTGACTAATTCATTCTTACTGGGTACCCGTCTCTGTGGCATTGTCAGTTTTTTTAAAATGTTTCTATTGAACTAAAAGACAAGACGCTTGAAAAAAAAACCGCTTCGTATTTAAAAACTGAATCTTTTATGATAATTATAAGGTTCAGCTTAGGTACAATACAAAGCCAAATGAGCTAAATGATTTTAAGACATTTATATTGCGCTTATCTTTTAAATGAGAATAATTCTAAATCTTTCGACTTTTGTTAGCATTGGTATGGAAAAAATATTAACTTTACTAAATCCTTAAAAAAGAAAAAGCAAAAATAAATAAACAAATAAATAAAAATAGCTTGGAATTGTTGTTTTCTCCGTTAGATAGTGACTAACGAGACTAACTAAGTTAAAAGTTTATACATGCAATAGTCCTACTCTGCTAGCCAAATAACCAGTGTTCTAATGCTAACATTCCCATTCAGTAGTTATGCCTTAAGTAATATGAACTCAATGTGGGTATGGGATGCTTCTGCGTTCCCAAACAGCTATTGTAACACAGTTCTCCCAGTGAATCTTTTAGTTTTCACAAGTGAGCGAGCATGTCTCGGTGCTCGATCTCCCTGCTTAGCCACGATGATTGTGACCCAAGGAGAAATTCAGCTGCTTTGAATTTTTTTAGATGAAGCTTGTTCACACTGAGTAGTCTGCATTTTCTTTTTTTCCTGGATTTTTGTGGTCTTTTCATTAAGGGTACAAGAGCTGGGTTGGCGTTGATAGTCAAAGATCCGAAATTCAGAGTAACTCCCGTGCAGTAGTTTCTGGTGGAACCTCTCGATGCCCTGATGAAGTGTACAGTTACGGCTGCACTATTTAATCCAAATAAATAATGCGCGTACTCCTTGAGAATGTGATTGCTTCGCTATTTAATCTTCACTCGTTCCAAAATCTCTGTATTAAACTATAACAAAAACAAATAGAAAATACAAATCCAACCCCACAAAAAAAGTAGATCCCAAGTTCAGTATCTCCTACATAAATCTGAGGAGTCTACAATCCAACTTTGCAGAAGTTAAACACCATTATCACGACGTCAAAACCAGACCTCATTTTCCTATCAGGTCTTAATCTAACTATCCTAGTACAGGATTTCACAATTCTTGGATACTTGCCTCTAATAGTAAAGTATGATCCTCGAGACTACTACGGTCATAGACACGGTGCTTGTTTTAAGAATTGGTTCCCATGTTGCTGAGATCACAAAAACCACGAGCCGGATTTCCCGTTCATGCGCTTTCGTGCGGTCCTCCTCCATAGTAATTTTTTCACATTTTCACTGTTTTTTCGTCCATAGGATGATGGAATTGTTTGATCTTTGTTCAATTGTTTTGACAAAATAACAGAGAAAATTGATGATCCCTCGGATAGCATTCATATTTGTGGTAACTTCAATATTCACCATAAGGAGAGATTAGTCTACTCAATCAAAATTGACGAAGACGGAAGATACTGCCATGACTTCTCTGTCGCTAATGATCTGACCCAGATACTTGATAAAGCAATTCGTGTTCATGACACAACAGACATCACTCACACCTATTAGAGATCTTCTTCACACCTTGCTCTGAAAAATATTCCTTTGGTGCTACCTCCCTTGAACTCTTCTGATTACTAGCTGATCAATGTTAAAGATGATACCAAATCGAAAACATCTTCTGACAAATATTTTGGTACGCCAAAGCTGACCAGGATAAGTTCAGATCCTACATTGTAGAATCCCCCTTCTCAGAATTCTTCCTGAAGTGCCTCCCTCATCTCCAAATTGATCCTATCGGACACGGACAATTTCAGACCATCAATCCATTCATCTTCACACAGACAAAACGACCAGAACACTGTATGAATAAAGTTTAAATCAAACATAGACCTTGATACTTACATTTTGTTTGCATTATGTTATCAAACCTAGAAGAACACAGAACCTAGAAGAAACAAATGTCCTAGATAAATATATACTAATCGGTAACTCTGGGTAATACTTTAGCTTGGGGATTCCAACAATGTGTTTTTTAACCAATACGTTCCTATCTATCTATCTATCTATCTATCTATCTATCTATCTATCTATCTATCTATCTATCTATCTACACTTCAATACATTAAGAACTATTGCAATTACATAATACTATGGTTGATTGATAAGTAAAGTCTTCAATCTTATAAAAATTTTAGACCAGAGGAGAGAATAATGAAACTGTTATTAAAATGAAGTAAAATATAATTATTTTCAAGATTACAAGTTTATTTTGCAACATAGATAACAATTATTGTTACATTTTTCAAATGTTCGATCCACTTTTCATCTGTCCATGAAGAAAGTGTCTGATTCAGTTTCGTCCATAAACTTTTCATCTGATGAAAAATGATAGCCTTTCAATGTCTCTGGGAAGAACGAGAAATGATGGTGTCAAATCGGGGCTGTACGGTGAGTGAAAAACAACTGTGAATTTCAGGCTCCTTCCGTTTTCGACGTTTGTTCACTGCCTTGAGTTTCTATTTGGTAAGCTTAGAATAGTTAGTTTGGATAAACACTAGACATTTTCACGGAACACCTTACAAGGACACTTAGCTTCAACATTTTTAATCAATCATTTCTTTTGCTATGGCCAGACATACTGACCAACTAAAGAATTTCCTTGAAGAATTTATTTCCTCAAATGCAACTAGTCTCTAAACCATGGCCAGTGGTGTATGCAATGAATTATTTCAAATCCGAATCGCTTGCTACTCAAAAACCTAACTGGGCATAATTATTTTCCACCAGAAAAACTGTTTCCTTCTGTTTACCGATTGGCCTATCACCATGACCACTAATCGATCAAACAATGCTTCATCTCTCAACCCCGAATTTCCCATTCTACTCTGTTACCTGGCTAAGATTGACAACGCCGACATAATATTTCTTGAGTTTTCAAACCTTTATTATACCAATGATTCTTGTGAAACAGCTTATTTTATTCGGAGAGGCTTTCCACCAATATATTAGTCCTGTACTTATAAAATCCTACCTACTTCTATAAACATTTCTATCAATATAATCACAAGTAAAATAAAGCTAAATTAATCCAATTAAAACCACTACCACAATTGTCCACAAAAGAAAATATCTCAACATAAATTAATTTACTATCAAAAAACTGTTTTTTATTTTCGCTGATGTAAAATTTTGTTCTTTAAAATTCGTGAATAGACATATCTGAACATGCTAAAATCACTTCAGTCACTGGCATTATTTTTAGAGAAATGGTTGCCACTTGCATCTTTTGATGAAAAATCTTTTAACCAAAAGGAAATGATGTTTGAATAAAAAACTTTCCTTTTTGGCTTGTATTGATGAGTGCCAGTAAGAGCACATAGATGAAATCAACAAAAGCGGATAGGATTAGTAACAGTATCGAAAACCATTGATAATATTTTTTCATCAGACGGTCATAGAAAATAACCATAATAATCATATCAGCAGCATTATGAACAATGAAAATCGTTTATTTGACTTTTCAGGAAATTAAGTCACTTGCTTCAATATCTTCAGCTGAAATTTGATTAGGGGATAAATCATTTGAAATGTCAAATAATTGTTCATATATATACTTGTTGCAAGAACATGCTTCTAGCAATTGAAGATAAACTGATTGATTTTTACCTTCATAATTAACTTGTCCGTCGCCATCAATATCTGCTTCTCGAATCATTTCATCGACTTCTTCTTCAGTCAGTTTCTCCCCTAAGTTGGTCATTACATGATGCAATTCAGCCGCCGAAATGTAGCCATTTTCATCTTTATCGAAGACGCGGAAAGCTTCGCGGAGTTCTTCCTCCGTGTCACTGTCTCGCATTTTTCGCGCCATCATGGTCAGGAATTCTGGAAAGTCAATCGTACCACTTCCTGAAATGATTAAAAAATACCTTAGAGCAAATGAGAACTGTTTTTTATGTGATAGATTTGTTGACGAAACTGTTACGAATCTCGGCATTAACTTATTGTCATTCTAATTAAAAACAGATTATCCGCTAAAAAAGAATACTTTTTGTTTCCTTATGGGGAAATTGGAATGGATTCCACAGCAATTCTTCAACATTTATTATTTGGTATTCGTTCATCTAATAGGCTTCAATATCCTCTTGTTTATTTATCTTAACAATAAAAGAACGTGAGGATATTAGATTCGTTATTGTGCAAGTTTAACACAATAAAATTGGTATTAAACAACATATGTTAATACAATTTCCAGTTCTAAAGTTGAAACAGTCGAAACGTTAGCAAAATATGTTGATGTAGTCTATATACTTCAAATTTAGTTATAAATAAAATATTTATGCTGCACTTACGTTTTCCTTTAATATAAACTGACACCTCCAATATAAAAATAAAATATTAAAACTCATCAAATATATTTTCAATAAACATATGTGTACTACAAAAGCAAAAACTGACACGATATATTGCGGATATAAATATAAATAGATTTTTAAAATATCACCAATATTGTTGGTCACCTCGTCGGCTCTATCTCGTGCCCAAGATTTTTTTTTTCGGACCGCTTCCTTTGTGATGATGGGAAGAAACCAACAAAACTCCGGTAACACCAAAGATGAATTAAAGGCAAGGATTATAGCATCCCTCGCCAACTTAAGCAAGGAGACCATCCAGAATAGTTTCAGGAGATTCCGAAGTCACCTGGAGGCCGTGGTTGAAGCCATTGGCGATTTTATTGAATAAATTTACTCTTTAGTATTTCAAGATACTTTATGTAATTTTAGTAAATATATCATAAAATGAGATGTCAGAGTTATTTTCGTTTTTGCGTAATTTAGACGAAAATTCATCCATCGCCCTCTATATACTCCCCCCCCGGGCGCGCGCACACACACACATACACACACCTTGATTTGCTACATTTGTTTGTATGCATATCTAAAATTATCCCTAATCTATTTTTAGAGAAAATTTTTATAACTAAAGTTGTTATTTTACTAGTTGATGTCGTGAGATGATATATTTCATAAGTTTGTGCTTGTGACAAGGCATTTTGTTTATTAGAAACTTACCGTAATCAAACAAACCAGGCTGAGAATATAAGGGATAAAAACAATACACTTCCTATATAAGTGTCAGGAAATGACGCAAGGAAAGAATAATAAACATTTTATTGGCTTTAACCCCCAAAAGGTATCAAACATAATAAACATGGCAATATTTATATATTAGAAATACAAAGATATACTATTATATATACTTATTTGCAATATGTTGGGCATATTTCGAATTGAATACCAAATATATGATATATTTATCATAGAAATGTGAACATATTCTGAAAGCTTCATTAACATTAATTATTTAATACTAATATTAATGTGAACAAATTTATTTGCATACTAGACTCTGATAGTGAAAACGAGAAATTTTTTGAAAAATCTGCAAACGGAGATGAATATGCTATTTATTTAGAGAAGTAGGTTATATTATTGTTATTAATAAGAACTGAAGGTTTAGGGTGAAGTTACCATGTTAAAATAGTTGATGAATTATCGAAACGAGACTTAAAGAATCTGGAAAATTTATGTTCTTTGTTTTAATTTTCAGTAGATAGCAAAAGTCAGAAGAAATCGGAAATTCATAGATAAACGCTTATGAGTATTAGGTCCCATTTGACTACGAGATTTGGAAAACGTATCCCTATCCCGCAAGAACAGGAAATAACAAAAAAAAAGCAAAGAAAAACAGTTCAAGCAAAGAGAAAGAGAATGAACGAAGAAAAAAATAAACGAAAGAGAATAGACAAAGCGAAAGAGAATAAACGAAAGAGAATAAACGAAAGAGAATAAACGAAAGAGGATAAAAAAAGAAAGTGAATAAACGTAGATAGTTTTAATGAAAAAGAAACTATAAAACAAATTCAAGGAGAAGGAATCATAGATGAGTAAAAACGACTCATATAATTTCTGATATTGTTGCGAAAAGATGAAATCCAGAAATGAACGACGTCATCCAAACTTGAGAGAAAGAGAAAAAAGAGAACTGAGGAAAGTTAAAGGTAAGTAATTGGGATAACTTGACCATGACTTGAAAATGATGTGCCAAGACCAGCGTTTGTAGTATGTGTGTAGATTCAATCGTCAAATTTCGTAATTGTTAAGTCTCTCATCATTTTGTTACATTTGAATCACATGAAAATACTTTCGGTGCATGAAAAATAAAGTTTTGAATTCCCCTCAAAGAATTCAGTTGGCCCTGTAGTTATCTCTTTTCCACATAAAGTTGAGTTCTCTTCGAACCCTAACTTTAATTCAATCTCCATCTCTCGCTAGTGATTGGAAATATCTGTTACAAACACACAGACGCACGCGCACACAGACGCATGCACACACATACGCATGCACACACATACGCACGAGCGCGCGCACACACACACATACATACATATATATATAAATCGAAATAGATGGCGTGGATTGCTTGCACTTACCATCGACATCCACCTCGTTGATCATGTCCTGCAATTCGGCTTCTGTTGGATTTTGTCCTAAAGAGCGCATTACAGTTCCAAGTTCCTTGGTGGTGATGGCACCGTCACCATCTTTGTCGAAAAGGTTAAAGGCTTCCTTGAATTCTGCAGCAGAAAATAGTGTAAAAACAAGAAGAATGAAAATACAATTTTGCTCACATAATTGCTAGTTATTTAAAAAATAATTTGACACTTAATGCTTTTTAAATGTAAAATATCACAAATTAAATTGAAATACGATCTAAACATAAAAACTAAACATAGATATTAATATTTTCAAATAAATAATCAATTTTATAATTATTCATATCATTAAAAAGAAAAATCTAAATTTGTCCTTTATTTTTTTGTGAGTGCATCATGTACAATTTTACCATCGACGCAAACAACTAGTTTTTTAAATGGTAGATTATATTTGCCGACTTTTGAAGCATATAAAATAAAATTTGATTGGTATTTTCCAGTCTGGTGACCAAACATGGTCAAAATTGTCTATATTTAATGGAATAAACTGACTCAATTCTCCCCAGAATTTCTGAGTGCGCAGTTTGATTTCATGTGTTGAATTAGTTTATCTTTATACTTTGAAACTTGCGTATTAGGACTTCGCATAAACTTTTCTAAAACAGAAACCATGACCTCTAATTGAATGGAAGTAGTGATGGCAGCTACACTGAATAAATCACAAAAATTCAGAATGCTGAATTGATAAAGACTTTTAATACCTCGATATCTGGATCAGTTATAATAAATTTAGTATATGAGGTAATGAAGTTGAACACAGGAAAGGGTGATGTTGAACAAAAACTTAGAGATTTGAGTTAAAGGGAGATAACTGAGACATCCGGAAGAGCCATGGCACGTGGAACTAGAAGAATCTACCCCGATGGACGAAATAAAGGGTTCAGTACGAAATTCCAATCACCTGAAGAAGGCCGAAAAGTCATGAACATGGCAATAAAGATGAGGACAACACCCCGAACAATGTTATCACAGCAAGCAGTAGATAATGACTGACATTGCATTTAAATTTTTGAAGATCAAAATTGAGTGGGAAGCAAGAAGTTAGAAGAGAGTTCCACAAGCGAGAAGTGCGATAGAAGAAATATTAGCATAGAATTTACGATTACATCTAGCGATTTTAACTGTAAAATAATGAGTCCTTGCCACCAATCTAGTACTGAGCTTAAATTCATAAGAGGAAAGTTCATCAGAACAATTACCATTAAAATACTTATAGAAAAGTCAGAGGTAGGCTATGTTACGGCGGTTGGAAAGTTACTGAAGGTCAGAACCAATGACATTACAGATTCTTCTTTGAATTTTATCAAGAGTCTCTAAATAGATAGCAGGAGCACCAGAACAGATGTGGTAGCAGTATTCAAAGAAAGGATGAATAGTAAACTTATAAATATGCAAGATAGATACTGGCGAGAAAAATATCTAGCATGATACAGAGAACCAATTTCCCTGTCAGCAAGCCTAGCAATTGATTCAATATAACAATTCCACTTCATGTCAGCAGAAAACGTTAGTCCGAAAAGGCGCAGTGAATCGCTCTCCTGCAGATTAATATCTGCAGCTGAGGGATTCTCTCAGACGATTAAAAGAAAGCAGTTTTGGTTTTGCGGCGTTAAATTTAAAAGCCATTACTTGCCCCAATTAAGAACCAAAAGTAGATCAGATATCGAACAGATCAAACTTGCTCTTAAGAATAGATGGTTGTGTCAATAGCATAGATACCGAGTTGAGAACTGGTGACATCACGAAGTTTGTTGATGAAAATTAGGTACAACCTAGGTCCTAAGATAGAGCCCTGGCCGACGTTAATGCAAAAAGATCTAGAAGAGTAAACATTCAAGATCACATTCATTTCGCAGTCTGTTAAGAAAAACAAAATCAGGTCAAAAATTTGTTCAGAAATACCATAAGCTTTCAACTTGCGAAGAAGACTTGGGAAAAATATGACAAATTCAGTCAAATACCACCGAAATATCCAAAGCAACAGCCCGAGTTTCACCATTTTTATCTAAAGCTTGACGGACTTTTTCAGCCATAACCGTTAACAAATCAGTAGTTAATCTAGACTAGTGAAAACCGTATTGCAAAATCTTAAAGACAAGAACAGCAGAAGAGGATTTCCAACAAAGAAGAAGCAAGAAGCAGGGAGGCACCTATTGTACATAGAACAGGAACCAGTTCAGGAGTACATTTCTTAAGGACAATTGCAGGGATACCACCAAATCCATATGCTTTAGAGATGATAACAGAAACGATGGACGGAATTATATGGATATCACCCAATAGCGACTCTTTTCTAAGTGGAAGTCAGGCAAAGATACTCCATATGAATCAAGTGTAGAATTTGAAGAGAATTTACGAGCAAAATATTCTACTTTATCAGCAGTTGTTAACACCTCAAATTGAGTGAAAAGAGGAGGAATAGAAATCTTACTCTTATTTAAGACATTATTACAGAGATGGTAGTAGTCACGAATGCCAAACTTTTTAGAAGCTATGAGGTACCCTATTCTATCAGAAATAAAATTAGCCTCTTTACTACTGTTACGAGCAGACAAAATAGACTTCTGTTGTGATCAGAACTATCACATTGTTAATTGTATAAAGTGTAACCCCACACACTTTAATTTGAAATTTGGCTTGGCATGTCAATCATAAATATTGCACTGCTGATTTTAGCGATTACAAACTGAACACGGTTAACTCGTGTGATTAAATCATTTTTAGTTCGGGGAGTTAAATTTTGTCTTTTTCTTCTCTCACACGTACAGACTGACAGGTATACAACTGGGTGTGTAGATACACACACACACACACACACACACACACACACACACACACACACACACACACACACACACACAGAGCGATGAAGTGTGAGTAGAGTTTGTGTTAAGAGTTACTAAAAGCAAAGTTAAAAGAATTCAGCCATATGTAAGAATTTGTAGAATTCAAACGTTGATGACATGATAACAGAATTCAACACGAGAGGAAAAAAGATAAGAGAATTAAACCATCGATAAAAGGATAACAAAAATAAAATCCTAAATGAAAAGATGAATTTATTCAACCCAGGATTAAATACAAGCATTTTAACCTTAAAAGAAAAGATAAAATTAAGAATAAGAAATTTAACCCAAGATTATATGATAAAAGAATTCAAAACGCGATTCAGATTTACAGTAAAGATGTAATAATTCAATGTTAGAAGAAATTAATTGAATATCAATGATTTCAAAACTAGATAAAAAGATGAAAGAATTGAAAACTACATGAAGAAATAAACAGATAAAAGATGAAAAGATTAACATATTCAGTTCTGTAGCAAAAGGTAAATTCTTAAATTTTAAATGAAAGTTAGAATAGAAAACTAAATGAAAAGAAAAATAAATGAAAAGATTAAATAATTCAACTCACGCTAGAATGAGAAAAAATCAACATGATATAAAAAGATAAATGTTTTCAATCTTGGAGAAAAAGACAACATTAAAAGATAAAATTGTTTAAACACTGCTGAAAATATTTAAACCGTGATGAAACAATTCAACCCTTTAGGAAAAGATAAACTTAAAAATTAAAGAATTCAATCCATGAAGAAAAGATAAAATATTTCAAATTTAAGTAATAAAATAAAATAAATCATCACTAGATGAAAAGATAAATAATTACAGTACACACACGCACCCACCCACACACACATGCACACCAATATATATATATATATATATATATATATATATATATATATATATATATATAATCAACGTTGAGTTAAAATATAAAGAAAACCTTAATAAATGAAAGGGGGAAAGCATTAAACCCTAAAAGAAAAGAAAAAAAGAACTCAGTGTTAGATGAAAAAGAGACATGTATTCAACACTAGAGGAAGTGAAAAAAATAAAAAGGAATTCTACCTCTGATGAAAAGATAAAACATTTCCATTATCGACGAAAACATTAAAAATTCAATCCTGAATTAAAAAAAGGACTGGATTCAAATTGAAATAAAATAATGAAAACCTCAAATGAATTCAACTCTACACGGAAAAAAATAAAATAATTCAAATTCCATGTAAAGATTAGAATTGAACGTGCATGAAAAATATAAAAGAATTCCACCATAGATGAAAGGAAAATATTATTTTCACATTGGATTAAATACACAATTAAAGGAAAGCTAGAAATAAAAATAAAAATATGTAACTCTAGATTAAAAGCTCAATGATTTACACGAGATGAAAGGATAAATTTGATCAGTGATGAAGGAATAAAATAATTTTTAACCGAAATGAAAAGACGAATTCAAGCCTAGGAAAGAAAATAAAAACGTCATCACTAGATGTGAAGAAAAAACAAAAAAATTCAACATTAGATAAAAGAATATTTTAAAGAGAAAAGAATTCAGCACTACATGAAATGATAAAATAATTCAATAAAATATAGAAAGTTAAAAGAATTCAACACGAGATGGGAAGACGAATAAGTTCTATATAAAAACATTAAGGAATGAATTCGGGATAAAATGATAAATAATATATATGTAAAAAGAAAAGATGAAAGAATTTAACATCAGATGAAATAATAAACCAAGATGAAATAATAAAGCAAAATGAAATGATAAAATAATTCGAAACAAGATAAAATAAATTAAATCGAGCCGAATTTTTTAATCATTTCACCCCAAGCAAGGCAATAAAGCCGCTAAAATGCAAGGTGTTACTGAGTGTTAGTAAATATGAGAAAAAAACACTATTAAAGAAAGCGAACAATGCAAAGACAGGAATTATAGAAGACAGATGACAATGATTGACATTGAATTTCAGTTTTTGAAGATCAAAGATGAGTAGGAAACAAGATGCTTGAGGAGATTTCCACAAGCAAGAAATCCGATAGAAGAAACTATTAGCATACAACTTATGGTTACATCTAGTGATTTAAACTGTAAAATGATGAAACCTTGGCGCCAATCTAGTACTACACTTAAAGGTCTAGGAGGCATAGAGGAAAGTTCATCAGGACCATTACCATGAAAGCATTTAGAGAAAAGGCACAGGGCAGCTACATTACTGCGCTTGGAAAGTGATT